GAACCAGAACACTGCCCGACGCCTTGCCACGTTTTGGATACAGGACATTCTCTAGAGGAAGAGAACGATCATCGTTTTGTTGTAAAAAGGAAAAAGACAGACCCCGAACTTCCCTGCCGGCACACGGGATTTCATCTTGTAGCTGATGGCAAGTGACAGAAATCACTAATGCAGGGCCTCGGAAATTAAATTAAACATATGGACTGTAGCTGTCTAATTGGAAGAGTGAGGGCTGTGAAAATTGGGAAACATTACAAAGCTAAAGGACAGGTCACAGAAATCTCCAGCAGCACAGCAGAGACTGAAAACACCGCTCTCTGAAAAACTACTTTGGAAAGACAGTAATTTGGGGCTGAAGGCTTACTTTCTCTTAGCAGTTCTAAGCTGAAAACACCCATTCCAGTGACCAGCGTCACAGCCCCCTAAAGCCACGCTGGGTACCTTGTTCAGCTATCAACAACCTTAAAAAAAGAAGCGGTCACAGAGCAAGCAGGTTAAACAAAACCGAATGACCTTGTACTTGTTGCAGGCTAACGATACGTGTGGACCCTTGCTCAGCCGGCTGCGTGGCGGCCATCCCTGAGCCGCTCGTTACCTCTCTTCTGATGTGCAAGCTGGAGGAAGACCTGGCTCACCTCCCCCCGGAGGCTGTTTGACTGATGGGCTGAGAACCGAAAGTCATAACAACTTATAATCCACCAAATCAGCTGCTGTGGCTGGACAAACCAATTTTAGACCATCGCTCTTTACAGAGGGACCACGCTCTAAAAAAAAAAATAATCCTGCGTCCTACTGCGAAGCAGAGTAAGTCACATTTAGACTAGTTCCTACCTAAGGTATGTAAAAGGATTGCAAGAGATCCAGAAAACCAGCAGGCACTCTGCATTTGGAAGGGAAAAGCTAACAAACGTTTAAAATTCTGCAGGCAAACCCGTGCCACTGAGAAAAAGCCATCAGCTCCCCAGGCTCTGCCTTCTCCACCTTCCACAGCCGACCGCACACGCAACGCCCAGTTCTGCCGGGTTCGGGTTAAAAAGGTCGCCCTGTGGACTACGTCCACGAGCAGAACGATTTGTAGGGAATTTCAAGCGCCCCGTGTGTCATGTTCCAGCTCAACACATTTCCCAGCCAGCAGCGAGACCCCCCTGTGGACGCTGCAGAGCTAGAAACGGTCCGGTGGGCCAAAAACACGTCTGGCACAACCCCAGCGGTATCAACAGAGCTGTTACACCAGGAGCAAGCCTGGCTTGCATTTATGTTCGCCTCCATCAAGTATCTAATTACTCTCCCGCTATATCATCGGAGACAAGTCCAACCAAGCTTCAGATATCCAAGGACTTCTTCGTTTTCAGCTAAAGTCAGTATTCATCCAAAATGTGGGAAAAACAAACACCGTTGGCCCAATACAGCCTAAAGCTTCTTTTTTTTTTGCCAGGTACCCAAATGAGACAGACGGTCGTTACCGCTCTGCCGGCCTGTCACAGGGGACGAGCCTGGGTGCTGAACGCCTTTTCCTGCCTAGATGTTTTCATTAGCATTTCTACCTGATTCTAGGCCCGGTTTTAGGTAATTACTGTACCATGAACGGCCTTTCTCCCTGTCTCCTCTTAGCCTTTGCAACTCGGGAAGCCCTGTTCTGGTCCACCAGTCACTTGGAATGGTCAACAGTCGTCACACTCCATTGCTGACCATTGTCCACTGGCAAAGGTGGGAGGCTCCAAAGCCCGTCCCTCCGCGGACGGGCAAACAACGGGGCCCGTTGCTGCTCGGACATCAAAGTTAAACAAACAGTCCCGAGCCCCCGCCTCCGCGCCCATCTTAAGGAGCTCCCCAAGGAGGTCACGACTTTCAGCTTGTCATAGCACACATCAAAGTTTGCACCACACACGAACTCGGCACACGGATTCGAATCGTGTCACCCGAGAGCGGATATTCAGCCTTTGTGCACTGCTTTAATCCTGTGTTTTCCCAAGTAATTAGGCTTTTTTGCTTATGAACTTGTGACTAAGTAAAGCATCCCCGAGAGGTTGTAACATCAAAGCTCATTCTCCCGTCTGTCCCGCGTTTTCCAAAATTGGATTTCTTTTTCTCTTTTTTCCTTAAATAAAAAACTAATTGAATTTAGTTGTAGACTGAATATATTTAAGAGTGTCTTTAAAAGGTTACAAGAAGCCACAGCGATCATCATGGGAACTAAGGAGGGAGGGCACAGCATTCAGCCTTTTTGCTTCATAAAGGCCTGGCATGAAAGACCCAGCAATGGCCCCACAAGCTAGGAGGGACGCGGCAGCTCTTACGGGAGCTATTTCTGATGGTGGGGTGTTAGACTACCTACCGCAATGACATCCCAAGGCTACGGACTCATCGGAGGCCAAAATCTACTGCCAACTCAGCAGTCACCTCTGTGGGATTGCAGAGCAGCCTACCTCGATCTGTCACACAACGTACCGGGCGAAGGAAGAGTGAAAAGCTCCCTCGGGGTTTAGCTCGACAACACATCCCAAACCAGCCCAAACTTTACGGAAACTCTCCGTGGGGCTCAGTCTGACTTTGCGAAAAGGTGAAGCGGCTTACCCGCTACGTGACGGTGAACGCCGAGACAAACGTACCTGGAGTTTCTGCTGATAGCTGCCACCATGAGAGCAGTCCAGCCGAGCTTGTGCCTCGCGTTCACGTCTGTGCCTTCCAGCAACAACCTGGACAGAAGAGAGAAAAAAAGGACGTTCAGGAAAAAAGACGCAGAGAAAGCATCCCGAGCAGACTGGAGCTCATGACGGAACGCGGAACGTTTTACTTCGCAGGCACCTGCTCCAGTGCAGCCTAGAAGACCCAACGTGGAAAGTCGATTCAATCCAGTTTCTCATCGGCTACCAAACTGAAACAAACTGGTAGATGATAGCAAGGCCTGTCCTTTCAAATGGCCCAACGTCAACCGGCCTGATTTCTTTACGTTTTATTTCTTTCTTCTATACAGACTAATACCCGAAGAACCCACCAGCAGCATGATGGAGAGCGAAGCTGATTAACCTACAATCTGATGGCAGCTTCAGATCTTCAGGCTGCAGTCCAGCCATCAGGGTTTCAGAAGAAGCTCAGCAGATCTCCAAAGCCCGTGTCAGCAGGAGATATTTTGCAGTTTTCTTGCACGACATGAGAACAAACGAGACAAACCCCCAAAAATACGAGGCATCAAACTACCCTTGGTGCTTTTTCTGCGAAATTTTCTCAGCCTTTGCACTGTTTCCCTAACCCCTCCCTGGCACCTTTTAGCAACGTTGCTCCTACATGGCTGCTGCTGGCTTTTACCTTTATATTCTTCAGACTCTAAAGCACCAGAAGGCTTCTCTACCCTTTCTGCATCCTCTGATCCTGCAGCAGCAACACTATTACTCTTAGCACCAGATTCCAAGCAGTACCCTTAGAACAGTGATATTTCACAGAGACAAACTTAACCAACCCTTCTCTCCTTCACGGCCAACCATGGGATCCAAATAACCTCCTCCAGCCAAACCCACGTGAGTGCTAGGAGCCCGGCCCACCCCAGCCGCCTGCGCTCCCCCACGGCTAACGGCAAGAGACAGGTCCTTGCAGAAGCTAATTCAGCTCATCCTAAAACAAGTCCCAAACCCAGATGGTATGAAATGGCAGCCGGGAAGTGCCGTTCTCTCTGTGAGGCCGTTACTGCGCAGCACATCCTTCGTACAGGAGTAACGGGGAAGAGCTGCCATCAAACTCTGTGCTGTGAGAGACAGGAGTGAAAACACAAGCCACGTTTCACACACGCAAGCACCACACTTCGAGTATTTACCCCCCCCCTCCCCCAGATCCGCAGATAAGGAAGCCGGTGGCAGCTGTGGCTGCTCGCATGCGCTGAAAAGGTCGGACCACTCCTTTAAGGACTTAGAGAGGTACACGACCGAATGCGGCCACCCTTTCCAAATTAATTGCCCTCAGCCTGCTGCGGTGGTAACTCTGTCAGACGGTTAATAAAGAGCGCTGGGATGGAATTAGTGAAAAGGAGGTAAACGCACCGTATTCCTCTCCCTACAGTTGGAACAAACATGAAGGAAAGCACGAACGCTGTACACGAGGTCTCTGCGAACCTTCCTCCACCTGGTCAACAATCCCCACGGCGGTTTCACCAAAAACTTATCCCGAGGAACAGATATACTCGTATAACCCTAAAGTTGTTTCCAACCCGCAATGCCAGCGCCTAGGCTTCGGCTCATGCCTTGAACATAGTTGAACACAGTTCTCCCTGCTGCCCTGAGAAACTAGCCAGGTAGTTGTCATCCGAATTAGACGCCTAAAATGATCCGCATCCCACCCCAGCTGAACTTGTTGCCCTGTTAGGCTGAGGCTGCGGGGGCATGAGAGACAACCGGCGGATGACTCGGCCAAGCTCTACAGGGAAGCATGTCGGATGACTCTTCTGACTCAAGTGGAGGTTTGATATGTAGATAACGGGTACGGGTGGGTAATTTGACCATCCTTTTTTGACAGGAGAGGTAGCCAGCGCTGGTGCCCTGGTACTGGATGCTCTGAACTGCTCATCAGGCACTTGGACCGAGATCCAATAGCTAAAGGACCAGAATAGTAACTCGTAGCCTTTATTTGTAGCTCCCAACTGTGGTTCAGGAGGCCACGACCTCTGTAAATGATCCACAGCACCAACAGAAGATTTATATTCTCTTTACCAGGGTTACAATTTAAAGTTTAATGATAATGAATTATTTGGCGGGTAGACAACAGGTCCTTGCTCCAAAAAAGTCTGATACTTGCTACTACACAGTAGCAGAGGATCAAATTTTCATGCAGAGTCCTTACCAGATCCACGCCACGCGGATCTGCACATCCCTAACTGCCGGCAGGTTGCAGCTCCTGCATTACCAAATGGTCCTGCAAACCACAGTCTGAGGTGCTGCACAGGACCAGCCCTGGCTCCCCCCAGGATACGTCCTTACGCTCTCTCCTTCTTCCAGCACCTCATCACTGAAAGCAAACGGTGGGAGCGTGCTGCCAGCTCTGTTGCCTGAAGAGCACTCCCAGACAGCGGACTGCTTGAAGAAGAGAGATCCATGTGCAGCCACAAAGCTTTCCTGTCCCTGTAACGCAGGACGTGCCCGGATACACAGATGACGGCAGCCTGTACTGGGGCAGATTGCTATCTTTAGAGATCAGCTCCCATTGCAGCTATGCATACGGAGGGTGTTTGCACTCACAACAAGAGATAAGCAGGTCCGACTCGGATCCACGGCCACTGCTGCTCACAGCAATTACCTGCTCTTGCTTGGAGGGACGCTGCCTGCAGGAGAAATCCACACCGCGGCTCCATCTGTGCGTCCTCCGCGCAGGCGCAGAAAGCTGCTCTTTCAGACGAAAAACCGCTCGCACGCTGCCGCTGCAGGGACCGGCTTCAGCCCCGGCTCCCCCAGAAACCACGAGGAGCCGTACCCACCCGCACCAGAGCGGCCAGGAGGCCCAGCCCAGCAAGAGACGGGGGAAACCTACACCCAGACCTTACTGTCTCCCCTCCGGCCCACCCCAGGTGCCTTGAAAAATCCTTTCACAGCCATCGCGACGCCCGGTCACCTTCCGCTCTTCTCTTAGAGTGGCATGGAAGGACGCGTACAAGTTGTGTCTGCATTTCATTTTATTTACTTGGCCATCTGAAAGTACTTCGAACGCGGTAACTTCCACCTCACCCTCTTTCTACAGCGTGTCGATCTGAGAGTCTAATAGCCACATAAACCCCAGCAAAGAAAAGGAAGGGAAATATTACTGCAGAGGAGATGGAAGCCTGACCGGGAACCCAGGAGGGGCAGGGGGAGGCCAGACACGAAACCTCCCGAGGTACGAAGGCATCAGCTTAAGCAGGGATTAAGGCAGCCATACCCCTTCGGGCTGGGGACTTTTGCCTGACAGCTAAAACCTCACAGCCCAACACCTCCCGCTTACTAACATCTTTAACGGGGGTTAACTAATGTAATTCACAAAGTATTAGCCCCATTTGCACTTGACCACGTGTATTAATATGATTTAACATTAAAGGTGCAAACAGACCGTCCCGGTCGCCTTCCACCAGCCACTGGGTCGCTCTGCTGCAAAAGCTTGCTCTTACTTCCCTATGTCGTGAATTTTAACATCCGCTTTCTCACGAACGGGAACTGCAGCTAAAGACGTTAGCGTCGCCTCGGAGACGGAGGACAGGACGGCAGCCTTCACTTACAGCACTTTGGAGCCACTAAAAACTACTTTTTAACGCACTGGAAGGCTTTTTTCCCCTCTACAGATGTACTGGAAGGGCATATTGAACAATGAATGATCTTTGTTCTTAGATAAAAAAATAATGAAATAAGATCCTCGTCCAGCAGTCGAACCCGTTAAAACATAGTGCATCCAGCAGGAAGGACGCTGGAGTCTCCGCTGCGGGATTCGATTACAGGCTTGGAGCTAAGATCTTAGAATTAATCAAGTAGTTTTCCATTCAGGAATCTAGATAATCGTAAGCATCTGGAATGCCACATGACCCAGCCTAGTGAGAGAATTACTAGCATCACATCATCTAGCATAATACGCATTGACATTTCATTTAGAAGCCAGGTTTGGTTTTTTTTTTTTAAATCATTGCGAGATGCTCAGCAACTTAACAGATTTTCTAGACAACTGAACTTTATGTTCAGGGTCTTCAAGCCTATCATTAATTTTTTCCCTGCCTGATTTAATGATATGACAATCGATAAAGCGACGACCACTGCTCAGATCCTAGACAGCCAAATGTATTTACCAGCAGGAGTATTTTTTTTAATTAAATAAAATCCTCTGATCAATGTTTAGGATGTTTATCCACCGTTTAACCAAATAAGACCCAGGACACTCACTCCTACCTCCTAAGCAGTTTCTCATGCCTATATAGCTCTGTTAGCACCCTTTTCAGTGTCTCTCAAAAGACAAACTGGTCCTCGGCTGCAGCAGTGCCACCAAGACCCAGTCACTACAACCCTGATAAAGAGCGGGTGCTTTTTCTGTTTGGCGGCGCGTTTGTACTTC